GCAGGAATGAGATAAACCACTTCCTCTCTTCCAGGAAAATGAGAAATAAATAAATATGTTTATGAAAGCAATTTTTAGTTGATTGTCCATAGCAGTTTTTTCTCTTATGCAGATGCAGTTCTCCCTCACAAAGTAGTATGCAGGTACCTCTTAGTTCAGTCTCGTAACAAGTGTGAAGGCATTAAAGCTGTTTTTCAACTACCAATAGGGCAATAACACGTCAGAGACAGAAACCCATATTTGTTTGTCCAGATCATGTTGCCTTCCTTATAACAATTTTCTGTCTTTACAGGGTGGAGAACGCACACAAATGTGTTTATTTTACATTTGCTTTCTTCAGATTTTCTTCAATACTTCACAGAAATCAGATTATTTAACTCCCTTAATAAGAACCGTGATGCTAAGTTAGACCAGAGGTACTCCTCAGCCCCTTAACTACATTCAAGCAGATGGTCTAAGAAAGTGTAGAAGAACAGAGTAGATAAAGGATGACTGATCCCTTGGTAAACCCTTCCAGCTTTTGACAACTGGCAATTTAAAGTCACTGCTGCACTTTGGAACCATTTTCAAATAGAAGAGGGTAACACAGAAAAATGAATTAAGTTTCTTCTTTTATTGTATTCAGAAAGAGGTTCTAAAGACATTTCCCAGATCTAAAGTGTACGTAGCATTACCAGAAAGACAAATAAAATGTAAAGAGCAACACCATGAAAACTTTGACCTTAACTACTAACCAATGTGATCCATGCTCCATGTTACTGCCTTTTAGTCACGTGCAATGGACCACTTGGTTGAACAATGGAAAGAAAATACACTGTGATTACTGTTTTCTACTGAGCTCCCTCACGTGGGCCCTGCTCCAAGAGTCATAATGGTAAGGATACTGGCAGTGCCACCCATAAATATTGACGGCTGTAGCATCTGAGGGAAGAAAATGCAGACATCCTTCAAAAATGGAAGTCAGATATAAGCAAGGAGCACAGAAGGAGCATTAACTCTGTGATATTAAATGTAGAACCACAACAGAACTGACCAAAAAGATTTTAAGATTTTGCCAAGAATGCGGTAGTAATAATATAAACTTTTCAAAATTCCACTGCCAGAGGAGTCCTGCAAGAGAGTAAGAAAAGCTATAGAGGATGAAAATGTAGAAGAAGCATTCAAGATGGCTAACTCCACAGCTAAAATATGAAATAATTATTTTCCTTGCTAAAGAACCAAAAGTTAAGTGCACTGAGCATGAGGAACCGTCCTAAAATGGAGCAAGTGGAGGAAAAGAAGGTTATCAGGAGTAGTTAACACGGATTCACCAAGGGGAAATCATGCTTGACCAATCTGGTAACCTTCTATGATGGCATGACTGGCTGGGTAGATGAGGGGAGAGCAGTGGATGTTGTCTACCTTGACTTCAGCAAGGCTTTTGACTCTGTCTCCCACAACACCCTCATAGGGATGAGTGGTCAGTGAGGTGGATTGAGAACTGGCTGAATGGCAGAGCTCAGAGGGTTGTCATCAGTGGTGCAGAGTCTAGTAGGAGGCCTGTAACTAGTGGGGTTCCCCGGGTCAATACTGGGCCCAGTCATGTTCAGCTTATTCATCGATGACCTGGATGAAGGGACAGAGTGTGCACTCAGCCAGTTTGCTGATGACACAAAATTGGGAGGAGTGGTGGATACACCAGAAGGCTGTGCTGCCATTCAGCGAGACCTGGACAGGATGGAGAGTTGGGCGCAGAGGAACCTGATGAAGTTCAACAAAGGCAAGTGCAGGGTGCTGCACCTGGGGAGGAACAACCCCATGCATCAGTACAGGCTTGGGGCGGACCTGCTGGAGAGCAGCTCTGCAGTCCAAGAAAGATGAGGAGCTACTGGAGAGAGTCCAGCGGAGGGCTACAAGGATGGTGAGGGGACTGGAGCATCTGTCCTATGAGGAAAGGCTGAGGGAGCTGGGCTTGTTTAGCCTGAAGAAGAGAAGGCTGAGAGGGGACCTTATAAATGCTTATAAATATCTGAAGGGTGGGTGTCAGGAGGATGGGGCCAGACTCTTTTCAGTGGTGCCCAGCAACAGGACAAGGGGCAATGGGCACAAACTGAAGCACAGGAAGTTCCGTCTGTACATGAGGAAGAATTTCTTCCCTCTGAGGGTGACAGAGCACTGGAACAGGCTTCAGAGAGGGGTTGTGGAGTCTCCTTCTCTGGAGATGTTCAAAACCTGCCTGGGCATGGTCCTGTGCAGCCTGCTGTAGGTGACCCTGCTTTGGCAGGCGGTTTGGACCAGATGATCCACAGAGGTCCCTTCCAACCCCCACCATGCTGTGATTCTGTCATTCTGTAAAATGAATTGTCAGAAGGAAAGACTTCAAGACAAGTTGATAACGAGTAACAGTAACTAACTGCTGGAGCTGTGCAGTGTTTCCACTAATGGATTCAAATGTTCAATTACTGAAGCGCTAGTGCCAGTGGGTTGTTCTTCACTGAACCCGATCCTAACGCCAGCAAAATAGGATATAGGAAAATGTACCTCTGATTCACTGGCCTTTCAAAAGAGTCCTTCAAGGGTGATCATGGGAATTACAAAACTGTCAATGTGACTTCTATGCCAGGAAAATTAGATGAACTGTTGTAAAGAATAAAATCAATAGACACACAGATAAAGCTGACATTCTGTAGAAGCATCAGATTGATTGTTAAGGGAGGTTATGCCTCACAAATCTATTGGCATTCTTTAAAGACATCAAAAAGCACATTGATGTTGTTCATTCTTGAACGTGTGATCAGTGTAACCTTAGATTGCAAGACTAAGACCCTCGGGACGCTTACCCCAAGGCAGTCTGGACTGAACTATTTCTTCTCTTCACCTGGATTCAAGCAGAGCAGGAATTCACACAGTGTATTAACCTAACCATTTTTATAGTAGTCTTTACTCCTATAGAAACAGCAAAGTAGAGAATAATACACATAGCTCCCACAGTTTAAATCCCATGGGTAACAGTATGTACTGTACTGAATTTTTAATAGCACATTATTCAGCGTATCACATAAATTGTTATTACTGATGTAATAAAACCTAAACCAACACAGCTGGAGAGACCAAGGCTATAAATACACCATATATTTTTTTGTATTGTAATAATATGGGCCAAATTATGTTTAAGTCTAAATCTGCT